ATTGTGTTGATCTGTTCATTAAGTTAAATATATGTATGTATATATTTCTACCATACTATATGTGTGTGTACATGCACTCACATAAAGTATAATAATTCTGCAGTACTTTTTTTATTAAGACTATTTTTTTAGAGCAGTATTAGGTTCACAACAAATTTAGAGGTAAGTACAGAGATTTCCCATATATCTCCGGCCTCCACACGTGTATATCCTCCCCTATTATCAATATCCCTCATCAGAGTGGTATACTTTCAAAAGTAATGAACCTACACTGACACATCATAATTACCTAATGTCCATAGTTTATGTAAGGGTTAATGCTTTGTGTTGTATATTCTATATGCTTGGACAAAAGTACAAAAACATATTCATCATTATGATATCATACAGATTTACCACCCTAAAAATTCCTTATGCCCTGCCTATATGTCACTCCCCTCACTTCCAAACCTTGGCAACCACTAATCCTTTTATTGTCTCCATAGTTTTGCCTTTTCCAAAAATGTCATAAAGTTGGAATCATGCAGTACGTAGCATTTTAAGACTGGCTTCTTTCACTTAGAAATATGCATTTAAGGGGGTGCCTGGGTGGCTCAGCTGGTTGAGCGTTTGCCTTTGGCTCAGGTTGTAGTCCCAAGGTCCTGGGATCAGGCCCTACATCAGGCTCCCTGCTCAGTGGGGAGCCTGCTTCTCCTTCTCCCCCCACTTGTGCTCTTGGTTGCTATCTCTGTCTCTCTCTCTCAAATAAATAAATAAAATCCTTAAAAAGAAAGAAATATGCATTTAAGGCTCTTTTGTGTCTTTTCATAACTTGATAGTTTATTTCTTTTTAGCACTTAATAATATTCCATTGTCTGGATCTACCACAGTTTCTTTATCCATTCAACCACTAAAGGACATCTTGGTTGCTTCCAAGTTTTGGCAATTATGAATATAGTTGTTATAAATATCTGTATGCAGGGCTTTTTTTGTGTGAACATAAGCTTTTAACTCCTTTGGGTAAATACCAAGGAATGTGACTGATGACACAGTTAGAGTATCTTTAGTATTATAAGAAACTGCCAAACTGTCTTCCAAAGTCACTGTACCATTTTGCATTCCCATCAGCAATGAATGAGAGTTCCTGTGGCTCCACATCCTCGCTGGCATCTGGTATTGTCAGTGTTCTGGATTTTGGCCATTCTGATAGATAATGTGGCAGTATCTCAGTGTTGTTATTGTTTCGTTTGTTTGAAGTAGGCTCCATGCCCAATGTGGGGCTTGAACTCATGACCCTGAGATCACAAGTCACATGCTCTCTATCGACTGAGTCACGCAAGCGCCCCCAGCTACAGAACTTTTAAAAACAGGTTGAGGGGTGCCTGGGGTGGCTCAGTCAGTTGAGTGTTCAACTCTTGATCTCGGCTTGGGTCTCAATTCCAGGGTCAAGAGTTCAGGCCCCGCACTGGGCTCCATGCTAGGTATGGAGCCTACTTAATAAAAAAATAAATTTAAAAATAGGTTGATAACTAGACCAATCTTCTACTTAAAGTCTTTCAGGTTAGGCATCTGAGCCAAGTCCTAGCAATCTGACCAAGACTTGACACAGCTCTAAGTTACTCAAAACAAAGCAGTTTGCATCCTGTCACAATATGTCTTGGGATTAATGAAATCATAAAATTTTCCATCTGGAAGGGATTCTATGCTCCAACATGGCATTTCATACAGACGTCTCTTTCAGAATGCAACATATAAGAGCTGTTTTATTTCTTTCTCGTGTTATAGGCTGTGAGCATAAAGGTCTATGCATCTTACATCCAGTTACATAGAAAAGCACATGGGCCCTAATAGGAATATACTACTTATTAAATGAATAATTTAATAATAAAAATCTCTAGACCCCCTCCACCACCACTATGAAGGAATTCCAATACATCATCTTGGTAAGTCATAAAAAGTATAAAAATTAAGGAAACATAATGCTAAAGACATTTATTTTTCCAACTTGTAAATGCCCTTGCATGAAAGACATACAAACTCTTTACTGAGCCTCTTTGAAGCCTCAGCTTCTACGTCTGTAGGACAGGACAGTAATGATCAATATAAACTATGAGGATCAAACGAAATTAGGAATGTGAAGTTCTCATTACAGTGCAGACACAGGAGATACCCACTAAGTCACTCTTATTATTACCAGCAGCCCAACTCTCCCTCCCCAGCAGTCATCTCCCTGCCTTAGGGCACTCCCTCTGGCTGACTTAGTGTGTGGGGTAAAGGTCCCCCCTTGGCCCAGGTAAGCCGTCAGAGTTAGTCATAGTACCCTGCCCTCTGACGTGACAATATGCTCCCGTAAGACGGTCTAAAACAACCTATTCAAAGTCAAGTATCTGAAAGGCTGGAAGTCGGAATAACAAAAATATGCAAATAGTGGTTAGTCAGCAGATAACTCACTCAAAGGAAAAGCAGACAGCTATTCTTCACCTACTGAAGCAAGCCTACAGCACCACCTCCAAGCTCATAAAGCCCTCCGTCATCTGGAGCACTTTCTTTCTGTCCCTCCCCCTTACTTTCCTTCCTTTTTCTTTCTCCACCGCCCTCCTGATGCTCTCTACTATTTCTTCTCAGTCCCTCTCCTCTCTTCTTACCAATCAGAATACAGGATTCAATCCTATCCTTAGTCTTTGTATTTATTGTACTTTTCAATATCATAATGAACATAGGCTTTAAAGACAAATCAGGGGGCACCTGATTAAGTGAGTGGCTCACTCAGTTAAGTGTCCAACTCTTGATACCGGCTCAGGTCATGATCTCAGGGTTGTGAGATCAAGTCCCGTGTAGGGCTCTGCGCTCAGTGCAGAGTCTGCTCAAAATCGTCTCTCTCTCCCCCTCTGTCTCTGTCCCTCACTCGCTTGTGCATGCACACACATGCTCTCTCTCCAAAATAAATAAATAAATAATTTTAAAAATAGGGGCGCCTGGGTGGCTCAGTCGGTTAAGCGTCTGCCTTCGGCTCAGGTCATGATCCCAGGGTCCTGGGATCGAGCCCCATGTCAGGCTCCCTGCTCGGCGGGGAGTCTGTTTCTCCCTCTCCCTCTGCCTCTGCCCTGGCTTGTGCACACGCTCCTTCTCTCAAATAATCTTTAAAAAATTTTTTCTTTAAATAAAGGCAAATCAGGATTCAATTCCAGCTCTAATAATTACCTGTGTAACTTAGGTAAATTAATTAAATACTTCCATTTGCTCAGCTGAAAAACAGGGATAACAGCATCTCCACATGGTTAGGGTGAGAAGTAATTTTTTTTTAAAGATTATTTATTTATTTGAGAAAGAAAGGGGGAGAGAGAGAACAGAGCAGGGGGAGGAGGAGAGGGAGAGGGAGCAGCAGACTCGCTGCTGAGTAGGGAGCCCATTGTGGGGCACGATCCCAGGACCTCAAGATCATGACCTAAGCGGAAGGCAAATGCTTAACCGACTGAGCCACCCAGGCGCCCCAAGAGCGAGAAGTAAATTAACTAAAATTTGTAAGCTGTCCGTCTAAAACCTGACATACAATAGGTCTTCCATAAAGTTAATGTCCTTCTCAACTTCTCTGGGAAAATATTATCTAATTCTTGGTTATGTTGTCTACAGGTCAATAGTTCTCAACAGAAAAGGAGACCTCCATTCCTTAAAACTATCCCATCTATTTTATGGATACAGATGAATCCATCCATTATGGATATAGACAGTGCCTTTCACTACAGAATTTTGTACTACCCTGACACAAACACTTTATTCTGGGTAGTCTCCTTGATTTTAAAAATAAGTTGGAAGAGAGAAATTTAAATAAACTCTGGAAACGCAAAGTAATTAGTTAAAATTATAAGCTAAGCATTTAAGAGGCACTTAAACAATACACATAAAATAATAAATTAAAGACTTAACACTACATTTTAAAAAACTGGCTTGAAAATGCTTCAGGAGTTTGGGCCAGGTAAGAAAGAAATGAACTACTTCATAGGAATGGTTCCCATATTAAGGCCTTAATACAGTAGCAGGGCCAACTGCAGCTGCCTCTTCCAACTCCTTCTATCTCATTTTAACCTCACACCTACAGACTGACTCTACTCTTGAGTAAATTCTACACTGGTATCAGTTGATATTTGTAAAAAGAAAACTATCTTAGAGAAATCACATTCACTAGGAAACAGGACCCACTACCCAATGTCTCCTGAGCCAAGCTCAGACAACCATCAGACAAAAGAACCAAAAGGAAAACTACTTATGGCCCGCGTGTGACACTTCAAGCTACGTCCAAGAAGAGAACATGCAAAGGACAGCGCCACCCAAAGCGAGCCCTTCAACCGCAAGCCTAAAGCCACAACACGGGCCAGCCTGGATGAATCGAAACCAAGTCAGAGAGGAGCAGAAGGCTAGTAGGAAACACTGTGTAACACAGAGGCCGCAGGTACAAGCCGAAGAAAGGGACTGAGAGTTACTGGGGAGGCGGGGGGAAAGCCATTATTCTATTGAGGTACAAGTTCAGGGCAAGCAAGGGCAAAATAATTAGGCAGGCAAAATTTCTTCAGGGAAAATAAAACAAAGACAATATTAAACTGAACACTGAAAATTCAAAGAAAAGGTAGAGGTGACTGTTTTCAGGGCAGGAGAAAACCAACGTCAACCCCCAGCCCTAAGGCAATGAATACAAATGGGAGTGGCAAGACACCGCAGTAATTAAAAAGAACAGCATTCAAAAACTAGACATACTGGTGGAGTTTGGGGTTTTATTGCAGAATAGCATGTTTTCACTGCGATCATAAAAGGATATGCCATGGCATGCAGTTTTTGAAGAACATCAAAGTTCTCAACCTACAGCCACAAAAATGGCAGGCAATGTCTGAGCCTCTAAGTCCCAGGAGTTCGCGGCTTCCTCTCACTGCCCGTCTCTGAAGAATATGAAAGCACCGCAGCCCCCGAACGACCAGTTACCACTCTGGGCCGGGCTTTTCCTGGGGGCAGGCTGGAGCGACCATACTTACTGGAGTCCTCCCACTGGAGTAAATGGAGCTTCCACGCAGAATAATACAAAAATCCCAGTACCAGAAAAAGGCAGAGGGCTAGCAGCAGATTGCGCACAAATACCAAGAGTCCCATCTTCACATGATTTACGATTTCCTACATGACCTAAAAAATAAAAATAAAAAAATAAAAAAATAAACCAATTTAGGTCTTAAAGGATAAAGCAATCACCTTGTTGATACACTCTACCTTAAAATAAGTGCGTATAGGAAAATTTCCAAATGAAGAGCCACCTAGAGTTACCACGGACTTCCTGACATGGCATCCTCTAACCTGCTAGTCCTAGTCTCAAGAGACAGCTTCACCAGTCACTCAGTATCCAAGCCAGAAACCAGCAATCATCCCTGCGTCCCTCCTCTCCCTCATTCCCAGCATCCAATCAATGACCAAATTTTGGCAATTCCAACCTGACAGATAAATCCCCAATCACACCCCCTGGCCCCCATCACTACCCTAGTCCACGCCACCACTGCGTTTCCAGAGACAAGCTCCCCGCCTCCAAACTGTACTCTCCCAAATCCATTCTCCACACAGAAGTAGGACGGGTCTGTTAATAACACAAAATCTGACATTACTCTCCTGCTCAAACCCCTTTGTGTTAGTGTTCCACTGCGGTTGAAACAGAACACCATAGACTCGGTGGCTGAAAACAACACGAATTTATTATCTCAGACTTCCGGAGGCCCAAAGTCCAGGTACACTGTGGCTCAGCAGGGTCCTCTGCATGGGGTCTCCCAAGGGCCAAAACCAAGGGGGCACCAGGGCTGTCCTCCGCTCTGCAGACTCTGAAGATGAAGCCGCTTCCAAGCTCACTCATTCCAGCTACTGACCAAATGCAATTGCCTGCAGCTGCAGGGCCAAGGTCCCCATCTCCTTGCTGGTTATCACACAGTCTCTGCTCCTGTATTCCTTCTCATATTTTCCACATGGCCCCCTTCAGCCACAGTGGGTTAGGTCCCTCTCTGAATCTCTCCAACTTCCCCTTCTACCACATCTTGCTTCTGCCACCAGTCAGAGAAACTTCTTTGCTTCTCAGGCTCATGTGATTAGGTTGGGCCCACTTGAAGAATCCAGGATAATCTCCCTGTTTTAAGGTCTGTGGTCTTATTTGCATCTGTAAAGTCCCTTCTGCCACATAAGGGAACATATTAATGGATTCTAGGGATTCGGGTGTGGACATCTTTGGGGTGCCATTCTGCCTCACACACCTTTCATTCAATTCTCAATTCCTTTAAAATAAGGTCATTGCTCCTTAGAGTCTAGCAGCTTATGACTGTGCCCCTATTTTACTCTCCAAACCATCTCTTGCACCTCCCAACCCTATCTGTGTCCTGTGCCTTTCTTCTTCCAATTCACTGAACACAGCCTTGTTTCCCTCCTCGAGGCCTGCCTGGGACATTCTCGGCCACACTGCTGTTTCGCCTATGGCACATTCTCTGATGCTCACCTGAAATGGAACATCGGCGGGGAAGACTTCCCAGGATCACCCCCCACCTCACTCAGGTATCTCAGCCAGGAAATAACATATGAGAAAGAAATTACATATAAATATTATAAATAAAGTGATAAAAAGTTATCATTTGCAGACTTAGCTGTCCATCCAGAAAAGCCAAGAGAATCAACTGAAAAACCATTAGAACTAGTAAGTAGGTGATTATAAGATTAATTTACAAAAAATCAACAGCTTCTTTTTTTCTTTTAAGTTTTACTTATTTAAGTAATCTATACCCCACATGGGGCTCAAACTCACAACCCCAAGATTAAGAGTCACATGCTCTTCCAACTAAGCTAGCCAGGCACCCCACAAAAATCAACAGCTTCTTGGAGGTTCCTCAAGAAGTTAAAAATAGAGCTACCCTATGACCCAGCAATTGCACTACTAGGCATTTACCCCAAAGATACAAAAGCAGTGATCCAAAGGGGCACCTGCACCCCAATGTTCATAGCAGCAATGTCCAATAGCCAAACTAGGGAAAGAGCCCAGATGTTCATCAACAGATGAATAGATAAAGAAGATGTGGTGTGTGTATACACACACACACACACACACACTGGAATATTACTCAGCCATCAAAAAAATGAAATCTTGCCATTTGCAAGGATGGATCTGGAGGGTATTATGCTGAGCAAAATAAGTCCGTCAAAGAAAGACAATTATCATATGAAGAATATAAGACACAGTGCAGAGGATCATAGGGGAAGGGTGGGAAAACTGAATGGGAAGAAATCAGAGAGGGAGACAAACCATGAGAGACTCTTAACTATAGGAAAGAAACTGAGGGTTGGAGGAGGGGAGAGGGCTGTAACTGACTGACAGGCTTTTTCAGGAGGGTACGTGATGTGATGAGCACTGGGTGTTATATGCAACTGATGAATCACTCAACTCTACCTCTGAAACTAATGATGTACTATATGTTGGCTAACTGAATTTAAATTAAAAAAAAAAAATCAACAGCTTCTTAAAAACTATACCAGCAATACTGATGAGAAGATGTATGGGGAAGAATTCCATTCATGATGGCAACAAAATCTATAAAATATCTAAAAATAAACAGGAGGAAATGGGCAAGATTTTCACCAATGGACATAAGAGATCTGAATAAATAAAGACACACAATAGGCTCCTAAGTGAGAAGTTTCAATATTGGAAATATTTCAGTTCTCTATAAATCCAGTCTGACTCCAGTCAAAACCCATGGTTTTGTGGGGTTTTTTTTTTTTAACTTAAATCTAATCTGAAGACTTTCGGCCCAAGAAGAGCCCAGAAATTTTTTTAAATAAAAAATAATGAGATGAGGATGTGCCTTACCAGATATCAAAACTGACTCAAAGCTGTTAATTCTTTTTTTTTTTTTTTTTTAAGATTTTATTTATTTGCGAGAGAGAGAATGAGAGACAGAGAGCATGAGAGGGAGGAGGGTCAGAGGGAGAAGCAGACTCTCCACTGAGCAGGGAGCCCAATGCGGGACTCGATCCCGGGACTCCAGGATCATGACCTGAGCCGAAGGCAGTCGCTTAACCGACTGAGCCACCCAGGCGCCCCAAAGCGGTTAATTCTTAAGGTAGATGGGTACTGGGGCGCCTGGGTGGCTCAGTTGGTTGGGCGACTGCCTTCGGCTCAGGTCATGATCCTGGAGTCCCTGGATCGAGTCCCGCATCGGGCTCCCTGCTCAGTGGGGAGTCTGCTTCTCCCTCTGACCCTCTCCCCTCTCATGTGCTCTCTGTCTCTCTCATTCTCTCTGTCTCAAATAAATAAATAAAATCTTTAAAAAAAAAAAAGATAGATGGGTACTGGCACAGGAAAAGACAAATAGGTCAGTAGAACAGAGAGCAGAGTCTACAAATGAGCTCTCAGAAGAGAAAGAGATACACACATATACATATATAAATGAATTTACTTTATCTATCTATATATGAATTTATTCTCTGATAAGCATATAAATTTCATAAAGAAAAAAACCATGATAGGATACACAGCTAACTGCTGATGTGGTTGTCTCCAGGAAACAGGATGAAACAATGGGAAGTACTTTTCCCTTTATATACTTCTAAGTTAAATTTGTTTGTTGTAAAGTCACAAGTATTACCGCTATAATTTTTTCAAGATTTATTTATTTGAGAGAGAGAGAGCATGAGCCAGAGGGGCAGAGGGAGGGGGAGAGAGAATCTTAAGCAGATTCCACACTCAGTGCAGAGCCTGATGTGGAACTAGATCTCACAACACTGAGATCATGACCTGAGCGGAAACCAAGAGTCGGACGCTTAACTGACTGAGCCACCAGGCGCCCCATACCTCTATAATTTTTTAATATTAAAAAAAAATCAAACAACACATTGTAGAAATATAAACTAGTAGACTCTTCCAGGAGCAACTGGGCAATAGCTACTGAAATTTACAACATTCACGCACCTCGACCCAGCATTTCTATTTCGGTGACTTTTTCCTACAGCAACATTCCAGCATATACTTTACAAGATACGTACCTGAATATTCATTAGCAACACTCATTATAAGAACAAAATACTAGGAAAAAATTCAAATGTCCATCAATAGGAAACCAAACAAATGAATTATGGCACGTCTACGCAGTGACATCTAGATCAGTGGGGTCATGGCAGGAAACAGATGGCACACGCAAAGGGGTTAACCAAAGGAAGTTAACCATGGGGTTTTTTATAACTGTGTGATCAGAGTTAAAGGAACCGACCAGGGGTGGTGAAGCATCCAGGGGCTCTCAACAGTAGGAAGCTACTCCTGCCTTCGAGGTGAAAGAGCAAGAAACAGAAAGGTGTCCCTGGAAAAGAGAGGCCAGCCATCAGGAGCGGTGCTAAGGAGCGAACAGCGGCTCCTGGAGCCCCAGCAAGGGGCGGAGGGGCTAAGAAAGGCTCTGACTTCTCTCATCACTCGCCCTCTGATCCCTGTCAGTGTCTTTTATCAGCTGATTCCAACTGGAAGCCAGAGGGCAAGGAAGCCGAGATGATGCCATTCTTCGAGGTCAGATACCAGCACAGAGGGTACAATGGATAATGGATCAATGAGGGCAGGAGGATAACACGTATAGAGTATGAGGTACTGGTGAGACAGAATGAGGCACAGCTGTACATCCTGACATGGGAAAAGCGTCTAGTCTACACTGCTAAATGAAAAATAATCTAGTTGTAGAATAGTAATGTACATGTACGTATGGCCACATACTGGTGATAACAAACAAGGGCGACAGCAATACTGAAAATTAAGGTTACGTATTCAGTACATACTTAATATGCACCAAACTGTAGACGATGTCTATCTCCGAAAAGTGGAGGGGGGTGTTTTTCACAATCTACTTATTAGTATATTTATTTTTAATTTTTATTTTTATATTTATGCACATAACAAAGTTTTCAAATTGAAACAGAAATTAGAGACTTGCAATTCCAGCAACACAAAGGACCATGTATCCCAGCCAGTGCTCCCAGTGAAAACAAATTTAAGGTAGAAGCAGCCTGCCTACAAAAGGCAGGTGGCTGGGCGCCTGGGTGGCTCAGTCGTTAAGCGTCTGCCTTCGGCTCAGGTCATGATCCCAGGGTCCTGGGATCGAGTCCCACATAGGGCTCCCTGCTCA